TATATATATATATAGAAGTGCGCTCAAATGAGAATGAATCTCAATGAAAGAAATAAGAAAGAATTTGTACCATTAGATCAACTATATAAATGGTCATGATCAAGTCAAATATTAATACATATCAGTCAAACATGCATGGCATTCTAGTAAATAAGTAGTCATTTCGCGGTCAAATATATAAATTTGACTACTTATTAAGGGTAAAGCTGTCATTACATAATCTCAACCTACCCCACTAACCCCCATGACACGTCATCATCCCCTCCACCCAGCCCATACCCAAACCCGTCTCACACACGCGCACCACTTCTACACACAGTCACACACACAACTGACACACACACACACAATCGCACGAACTCCGCCTACAGCCACAGCCCCGCCGTCTACCGACCACCCTTAGCCCGTCGTCTGACCGCCTCAGGTTGCTTGCCCCGTCATCCTCCGCTGTAGCCGTCCTTCTCCGCCGCCGTAGTCCATTTCCCCGATCGTTACTCTCAGACTGAGGATAACGTCGCCGTCGAAGAAATCAAAACAAAAATGGTGAGCCTAGCGTCTCGATTTCAGCAACTGAGAGCCGACGACAACATCCTTGCCGGATCTACAGCCCCAAATTCGTCAATCTTTGGCACCACCATCGAAGAAATCCCATCCCCAGCCGTCGGTAGCAACGTCGCCGCCACACTGACGTCTCCGATTCCCCCGTGGTGTCTCGACGAGAATTCTGCAGAGAGGCTTTTTTATTTTGGTTGTGGGTCATGTTTTGAGAATTTGATATATCATGGGGACTTATATGCAATTTAGAACTTATACTATTTATTTCACTTGTGCACTTGAGGTAATTATATAGTTTAATGAAAGTTCAATAGGATCCTATAAATTAAGAAAATAGTTTTATATCAATTTAGTTTATGTGTTAAATTTGTAATTAAAAAAAAAAAAAGATTACACATATTAATTAATAACTTGCACAACATTAATAAGTGCACCAAATTGATTAAATTTTAGTACAAATCGAAATAAAACTGAATCGAACTATATATTTGAATTACCCTAATGAAAATAATGTATTATTTATATTAAAAGTACATATAATATTCTAATAATTAAATTTAATACTTTTATATTATTGATTGAAAAATATAATATACAAAATACCGAAATCGATAATGTGCGCTCTAATATACACAAATGTGCATTCAGTCTACCATTGTTGTGCGGTATATTAAACAACTATTTTTTTTTTTTTTTTTTTTTT